GAGGCGAAGGGCCTTGCTCCACACAGGGCGGGAGGCTGCCCGCCCGGGGCTGAGGGGCCGTAGGGGGAAAGGGCTGCCGCCTCCTGGGATCGAGCCCCAGAAATCCAGCCAGAACAGCGAGTCGTTTAACGTGTTTTAATAGTGGATTTTTTTTTTTTTCCTCCTCCCCCAGAGCCTGACTAAGCAGGAAAGTTAGTTTTCAAACACGAAAGCCCTCACGAAAGGTCGGATGTTACATATGGCACACGCTTGACAAATCTTCTTCACCTGTCTCGGAACAGCAAGAATCCCATCAAGAAGGCACTGTTTACAATACTTGAATATCTGCGAGATTTTCTGTGATTTGAGGATACCCCTTGAAATAACAATAATCAAAACTTACAGATGTACAGAATCCTTGTTGTACGTTATTTACACAAACAGTGGTGAAGTAACAGCCTTTAAGAAACTATAACAAACACTGAATCCAAAGTCGGTTTCATAAACACCGGTCCAGCAAAAAATAAAATTGCCAAAGGCACAGGAGGGCAGCAAACAACAAACAAAAAAGGGAAGAAACCACCATCACTACATTTCATGGGACAACCTGTCAAATAATTTATGGGATTTAATTTTGGGGGGGGTGAGGGGAACAACCGGCCTATACCCTCGTTAAGTCAACTATTTAAGAGGAATCAACATGTGAAATGCAAGAAACATCATCTACTGCTGAAACTGATACTTGCTACGTTTCACATGGCATATTTACTTTTTCTTAGGTCACCTGTACCTTAACTAGGCAATCTGTACCTAAATGGCAAATTAAAGGCTTAGAGTACATTTGAAAAAAACAAACCAACCCAAAACAACAAAACCACATGGCAACAAATTCTGAAAAATATTTTCTGTACAAGAAAAAAAACAAAACCTAAAATAAGATTTGTAAATCAAATGTGAAAACAAGTGCTGTTTTAAACTTCTAGTAGGAGGCCACAGCCCTCAAACATCTGCAAACTGTACAATCAATTTTTATAACTATGCGCAGAGCTCAGTCTTAAGTATGTAACATTCAAGATCAGCTACACATCATGGTTAAATAGGACAATGGTGATGCGCTAAATAAAAGGCTTCATACATGCCTGTGACCAGCTGTACTGTAAAAATTAGGCAAGAAATTTCTTTGTTCTATTCACATGAGGGAACATCATACCAAACCCAGCAAAAATAGGAATTACTAGGTTTTCGATGTTCTTTTCAGAATTTAAGTTATCTAATCGTACAGTCAAGCGGAAGTCTGCAATTTTACTTTTCAAAAGGTTTCATCATCTATCCTTCACCTTCCTGGATCATCACTAAAACCAGAATTAAACTCTAAAAAATACGCTGAAAAGGAAAATAAGCACAGGCATTTTCTCTCGCTCTGTTCAAGTCTACTTATCTTGAGCTGAGCAAGAATTTCAGATACAGAGTATCTGTTTAGTCTGACATTATCCAACACTGCACTGCCAGCCAGCTGGCTGGGTCAAATCCACAGTTACTACCATGCAGTCCATGTAAAAATACACGCAGACTGTTATTAACTGATCCAGAATAGAAGAGATTAAAAAAAAAAATCAACACGAAAGGGCAGAAGGACATTTCTATTTACAAGAGAGATAAAAGCTTGTAACTATCAGTCAAAAGTTTTAGCACCACGAATTTAGCAGAGTATTATTTTAGGGGATTGAAGTTATTGCCCAAATTCTCATTTCCTCTTTTATTACTCTTAAGCACAGAGTATGATTAAAGGCTTGTAGATCTTAAGACAGGTGAAGCTTTGACATCTGAATGCAATAATGAATGGCCAAAATCCAGGCTGAGAACATTAAATTAATGCTGTAATATTCCGCTTTCTTTATGCCATTTTATACATGGCTAGCAACTTCAGTTTCTGTTTAGGGACTTAACTTACATTCTGGGTTTTTTTGTTGTGGGGTTTTTTTTGTTTGTTTTGTTGTGGGGTTTTTTTTGTTTGTTTTTGGGGTTTTTGTTTTGTTCTTTTTACAGAGGGACTTTCTACATTCACAAATTTTACCTCATCATCTGTAGGTATAATAGAAGTCCACCCAAGTTTGGTCTTGGCCACATATATAAGATCCCTCTGGTTAAGGTGCCACATTCCAGAAAATGATTCAAGACCAAACTATGCTAATATGAAGCTGTAAGAAATAAGCTGAAGTTGACTGCTTAAGGAATAAACTTTTACGTAGCTGAGGCCCAAAGAAAGGTAAAGGTAAAAGAGAAGGGAAGGTGTGCGAAGGTGTCAGCCACAGGAATACACGAGCTAGACCGATAAACAACACGTAAATAGTATTTTCACTAAACACCGGTGAGACTGACACAGAACAGAAAGGTAGCTCGTCTGGAGAGTCAGGGAGGCTGGCCAAGGCAGAGGGATAACCGGGCTGTGGCAAAGCGCCAAACGTGACCTTTGAACTGTTCCACTGCCCGGGATGGATTTGATTTCCGAGAGGATCCTCTGAAAACAAATTTGGCTGCCCTTTGCATTGTGCCGCTCACCCTCCTGTTCTCATCTGGGTTACAGAGAGTACCTTTACAATACTACAGCTCCTTTTTGACTTGGTGCGTTTGACGGGTGTAAGGAATTCACCAGATAAACACTGGCACTAAATTTTTTTGCTGGAATTTTACAGGTTTATACATGCATATATTTCTTCAAATAAAAATGTTAGACACCCTGGTTTTAAACTGAAACTTAAGCTTCACATTAATTTGTATGGCTACAGCATAATGAATAGGTGCATCCGTGTGTTCTGTTAGGTAGTATATACTGCAGTAAGGAGGAATTTAACAAAGACTTAGGGTTTCACTCTCATTTGTTTTGATATGTGTGGTGTTAGTCATCCTACAATTTCTGAAGACCTTCCCCTTGTAAACACACAGGTTTTCATTTGCAAGCGAAGTCATGACCATGCCCAAATTCTGTTTTACATCGTCTGCCTTTTGGGAGGTTCAACTCAAGCTACATACGAAGCACTCGTTTGCATCTTCACGTTTTGTTTCAAAAATAAGAAAGAGTCCTGGCATCAGCAGTCTGCCTCCTTACTGTGACGTGGCCATACACAAATGTAAATTCAAAGCTGTAGATTTATCAAGACTTGCAAACATACCATAAATCCTTGACATTAGCAATTCACGAGAGAGAGGGGACCAAGACAGTACCTTCCCAGGTGCTGTACTGTTAAAAAATGTGCTCCATACAGCAGATGCAGGAATGTTTTTATGAAGAATCTGAAGTTTTAAAGCTATAAAAATAAAACAGCTGGCTTACAAGCCACTATAGTAATACAGGATAAAAACCCCTCATACTTGCAAAACAAATCTAGGACATTGCATTGCAGAATTCCCAAAGACTTCAGCTTTTTACTTGCCAGTTCCTAACACTCATGACCTTTGTATAATAATGTATTTGTTTGACCTTAAACAAAAGTTTACTTCCAAACACCCAATGCCATTTACAAAAACTGTTGGCTACTTCAAAAGTTCCTTTGCTACAAAAATGGTAAGTTTAAATGTAACAAAGTATGCTTGTTTATCATTCTACCATAAGGAGAATCACATCCTACCTACAGGGTCTGACCTCTGAATTTTTAACTTCATCTATTCTGTGGTGAAGATTCATCAGTACAGCATATGACGTAATATAAAACACAAGGCTGATGTCGTATGTCTGCGAGACAGAGGCACACACCAGGAGCAAGAGCATACTGGCACTTACACAATTCTTACTTCAACTGGGTAGACGGGAGTATGACTCTGAACCATGGACGCTGAGGCAAAGTTCTGTAAGTTGTTGCTACAGGGCTCTTTTAGATAATATTGCATCATTTGAAGTCCAACTTAAAATATGGTCCCCAGTAACAGTTTGATCATTCCAGTTCAGAAAGGCCCTTGTTCACACTTCCTATTTGAACAAGAAATTAATGATAAGCTGTAGCAGAACCACAAGTAAAATGAAGACATAGTGCTTAAACTGCAAGAAATGGTAGTCCACAGGTGGTGAATTAGACGTGACTCTATTTCGTAGAGCCATAATGTCCCTGTAAGAAAGAAAATATTATCTTGTAAATTACAATCTAGACAATTTGACATTTTCTTGTACGTTACAGCTCCCTACAGAAGACAGTTTTTGAGGAAAATTATAAAACATCAATGAGCAATCAGTATTTGGGATGAAGAGTAGTTTAAAGACATCAAGGCTTTAAAGCAGAAAGATACATACCAGCCCGCAAGGAAAAAAAAGCTAGAAAATTAATATTCTCTAAACCATTTTAAAGCATTTTATTTAGTACTACCTCTTAATGTCTTCTTGTGTTTCCTTTATAGATTCAATGGCACTCTGCAGTTCACCAAGGTCTGCCCCTTTTTTCCTTATTCTAGTATTATGCTTCAAAAGTTGCGCTAGAAAGGTACAAAAAGCCAGATGTAATTCACAGAAGTGACTGCCAAGTCAAAAAGGAACGAAGTACTAATGACAAACTAAATCAGTTGCAAAAATAAGGAGAAAGTTTTCTAACTAAGCTTCTACTGAAAACTAAAGCTTTATTTCAGAGTCACCTATAGCACAGGACAGCAAATTAAGCACTTCAAATATCTTGAAACACTCACTGTATTGTTTAATTTCTGCAAGCATTATCAACAACAAAAATCTGCCTTCTAGCAACATACTGACCTACAAATTAGAACAATTAATCTTGTTTTAAGAAAGAAAAGAGTTTAAAAACATGTTTTTTCCCCCAGATACTAAATATGTGCAGCACTTAAACCTACCTACATTACATAGTGATGTTTAAAAGTACAGGAAAGTCTGCAATTAAAACCATGAGCCATTCTGCTCCTTTTTGTTTTTTTCGAGAATGCGCTTCATGTTGGACAGAACTGTGATCTAAAGCGTGCATTATTTCATAATACAAACATTGAGATAAGAAGAATATGTGTGACTACAGAACTCTGTTTCCCTGTCAAATAAATTTATTACTTCTGTATGCAAATGTATCTTTTCCTACCTTCACTCCCAGAGGAGTCCTGGTTATCAGGCTCTGGGGATGAGAAACCACACTCTCCTTTCTTCTGGCCAGCTGGCTTTCGTTTGATTTTTGGAACACTAACCTACAATTGATAAACTTATGAATTATTTCCAGAGAACCAGAACTGTAGCAAAGCAGCACATTCTAACAGTAATAGTTAAAAGCACAATATCTAATAGAAGTCCAAGTTAAAATTTTTAAAGTATAAGCAGTCTGAAATTTGTCCATCTTCCCATTTAAGGGAAAATACACATTAAAATGTTGAGTTCCAGTTTGCATATTTTATATTCCTATCCAATCAAGTCATCTCTACCTCTTAGGAAGCAACACAGAAGTGAAAGACTATGGACTGGGTAAATTTACATTTTTGTAGGATAACAATTGTATTTCCTATTGCTCCCAATGCTTTGACCACCTTTATACACATAACGCAATATATACAAGTCCCTGGACCTTCCTGTGTGTGCTAACAGAACTGGAACATACCATTGGTGTCCGATGTCGAACTTTTGTTTGGATGGTGCCATCTTTTTCAAATTGGATCATATCATTCAAAGGGTCCCACGGTCTGGTACTAGACAAAGTGAATATAATTGATCAATACTGCAGCAATTTAAATAAGAGCTATTTTCCTGCTCAGAAACTACTCGGAATGAACAGGTTAAAGCACTCTCTCCCTATACAGATGTCAGACATGGAATAAGTGATCTTATCTTCCACCTACAGCCCAGTCCTAACCTGAAGGGCCAAGAGAGCCAAAAAATAAACTTCACAGCCAGCTGAAACCCTCAGCCAGCTGGTAGGAGTACAAGCTATTGTATTAACCAACAATATCATTAAGAATTTATCTGGCTAGTGATTAGTATTTGTCAAACTTGGAGAGGTTTTCTGCCTACTGTACAGCTATCATTTTAGAACTACAGGGAATTAAAGGATTTTTGAAAGTATTATTATTTTGGACTGCTTTTTGTTTTTTTCTTTTAAAAGATGGCTAGAAAGGAGAGGTTAAGAATCAGTTACCTCAAAACCTGCCTTCATCCCAAAGTGGCTAATGGTAATTAAGAGTGGTTTAAAGAGGCACTAATGAGCTATACACAATTTTCTTGTTCTGATTTTTTTTAAGAGTGCTTTTCCAAGTACAGGTTGATATAGAATTTAAACAAAAAAAAAAAAGCAAAAGACACATAGCTCACTGGAGAACAACAAGCAGCCAAAGGCAAAGACCGGTATCCCCCCTGATTACAGCCTTCTCAGGATAGAAACTGCAAGTGAGCTGCATGAAGACTGTTCTGATGCACAGCTTTAGTGAGAGTAGATTAAGCATGGATTTCCCTTCATCTCCTGTATGCCTTTTAAAACGTTTGTAGCTGTTTCAGATGTTGTGAACATAGATCTGCATTTACATCTTAGCTTAACCTGACTTGAATTAAATGTCATCTAAGGTAACTGGGTAAGAACTAGGCATTGGTCTCCCAAAGGTCTCTTGTATCTGTAATCTGGATGCCTAAATCCATAATCCAGATACCTTAACAAATGCCACAGCTCATTGAACACATCTTTCACAGTAAGCATAAAAGACTCCTACATGGACCAGGTAGTGAGCCAGCATTATATGCGTAAAAGGAGACAGAAGTTTCTTCCAGGGACTGCTGACAGTGCAGGCTGCTTTCTAGCACATTTCTGTGGCCCATCCTTGAACCACATGGCTTCAAGGAGACAAGAAATAATGCAGATTAACATGACAGATTATCCCCTGCAGCTTTAAGACCTAACAGATTTGAAGCACAGTACTTTTCCTGACAGTTTTACACAGGGTTCAACAGTATGGGCAGTCAGAGTTCAGCTGGACTATTCACAACTCTTCCAACAACCAAGAGGCATCAACAGCACTAGAAGGTTCAAACCAAGAGAGGGTGTTTCACAGAGCTTTTAGTCTAGTTGGGGAAATCCCTGCTGCAGGATGTTTTGGGTGGTAAAAGTCTCCACAGACTTAAGAGGAAACCAAGGAAATACATGGAAAAGAAATCTATTGGGAGTTGCTAAATACACAGAATCCCGGCTTTGTTCCAGGAAACCTCCGAGTTGCAAATTTGCTGGAGACATGAAGAGCACTCAGGATGGTTGTACTCTTCCCTATACGTACACTTAGGCTGCTGCCCCAATATTGCCATTCTTGTACACAAAGGTGAAGGGTTCCCAGGTTTAACCATGGGAATATACTTCCAGCATCAATGGCTTCAGAATTACTTAACTCAGAGTATATCATCTTTGGATATTTTACTTTTACAATCCTTGCAATATTGTAAAAGGGTATTGTAAAAGAATCAGGAGAACGTGGGTGGTCTGTGAAAACCATCACTAGCAAAGAGCTCAGCTCCAGGCTGACTCTTGCAAGAGTTAGTGAGAACACAGAATGCACCCCAGCAGTTAGAGACGCAGCTGCATCTTCATCTCTGATATAGATCATCACACAAAGAGCTTCACAGACACTCATGTGTGCAGGGCATACTTGACAACTGAGCCACAAGGTCCCAACATTAACCACTGCTGTAAACCTGTTACTCTCAGAGTTATTCTAACATAGAAGAAATTAAACAGCTCAGTTCAATTAAGCACAGGCTTTTCTGATTTTCAGTTGATATGCCCATGTGTACCATATTTTCCAGTCTGGGAAAATCTGTGTAGCTGCTCTGGTCAGTCGCAGGGGCAGGGTCAGAGGGGGCAGGGAAGGAGCACAATGCATCCCAAAGTGCCATGCCCAAGGAACTCGAGAACATAGCACAAATTTGTTGAGGCACATAACCATAAAGAAAGAAAAAAAAAAAAAAAAAAAAAAAAAAAAAAAAAGAAAAAAAAAGAAAAAGCCCGTTGCAATGGTTACATGAAACATGGTTTCCTGCATTAGCAATCACCACCTTTTGGACACGACATATTAACATCCTCTCTTTGGTGAAAGGCCTACCAAGTTGAGCTAAAAAATTATGCAGTTTAATGAAAATGTATGAACAGGAATATTAAGTAGCACTGCGCATTTCATGAGTTTGAACTCAGCTATATATCTGAATTCTTTTCCTCCTGAAACCACAGCAAGAGGCTCAGTGACACTACCAGGCATTTAACAAACAGTTTTTGTTACAAGCACTCCAGGACTCACTCAGCATATTTGTAGTGCCATTCTCCTGTGACTGAGTCCTGATCGAACAGCTTGCATGTCCACTCTTCACCCTTAAGTTTCCTCTCTTTGGCACTCTTTCTCTGAGCTTCTTCCAGAACGTATTTCTCTTGAGTAGCTTCTGTTTGGTCTTTGTTATTTATTGCTCTTGTCACTTGTTGCCAAAGCCTGACAAACAAGCAATATAGAGAGTTACAATCTGGTTGACAGAAATAATTGCAAACATTTCCTTAATTATAGGCTAAGTAACCCCTAACAGGGTATTACCATGTTGTAATATATGTTTTTTCTACATTTCCATCAAGAATCTCCATGACTGTAAGGTTTGTAAATAACGACCTTTTATTTAACAGTGTTGCTTTCTTGTTTTACAGGTGAGTACCAGCAAACATGGGAAGGAAAGAAACCATATTTTGTTCCTAATTTGTTCCATGTTCAAACCATAAAATTTGTTCATAATTTGGAGAAGATGATGAGTTTTATTTTTTCAAAATAATGATATATGGTTCTAAAGTGAACTTACTTCTCTGACTCAAAGTCATCTTGCTCTTCAAACTTCACTGTAT